CGTGGCCCGGATCACGGGAACCGCGACCTTTCGCATGTGCTGGGTGTTTTCCAGTCGTGAATGGCAATACACGGGGAAGAAGTAGGCCAAGGCCTGTCTCAGCGCAGGGTTGTCCCGAGTACGAGGATGGAAGAAGGAAAGAATAAGTGACTGCAGGAGAGTCTCGACGGAAGTCTGGTTATATTCCTGAATGGCTGGGGGAATGTTCGTCCCCGCTGGAGTGAACGTGTTCGTGAGCAACAATTTCGAGAGCGCTGTAGCGGCAGCTGTTTGCACGCTGTTAGGCGAGCTGGACTTCAGCGACCGAGCAAAGACCTTTAACAATGGCTTCTGGAAAACTGGCGGCGCCACGGTCTCGCCGTCATCTTGTTCCACAGGCACAAGCAACGTGGGATGCGTTGTCAGCATATCACACAAGATGTGGATGGCAGTCACCTGCAAAGCCTCATGGCCCTTGCTGAAGCAGTGGATGAAGAGAGTCATGTTTTCCTCGGCCAGAGTCTGTAGAACCGTTAGTAGACCATTGTAAGCACTTCATAGAATAGTTCCTACCTTATCGAGTAGACAGCAAAGACCCAGACACTCAAGACCCCTCTCACGGATAGGGGCCTCGTGACTTCGAACGGCAGGCACGACGAGGTTGTTAAGCATAGTCACCAAGTTCATGTTGGCCTGGAGGTTGCCCTCGACATTCTGCAGCATACACTGCGCAATGTGCAGACATTTCATGTTGACCATGATCTCCTTCAGTACCTTCGCTTTAGCCTCCTCTTTGTTGAAAGGCTTCTCTTCTTCGGACTGAGGGGTCTCGGATCGGTGGCGGGTGGAGCTGGCATCGCTGATTTCTGACCTTGCAGACACGAAGCTGTCCTCAGTCACAATTGTGTCGTGAACTTCAGCAATGGCTTCCAGTACAACGCTACAGAATTCCTTCTCAGCAGCTGCGTTGGGGCCGCAAACACATCGCAGGGTCTCGACCGCAAGCTTGGTACACTCCTGAGGAAGTTCCGGTACGGCAAGCGACTCACGCAGTAGGGAGAACATCTTGCGCCGTCCAACTTCATCACTGTAGTCCAGAGTCATGGAGATATGCAGCAACTGTTCCACGATAAATTCTTGCTCCACGGAATCGTCATCATTGGCATCACCGGTTTCTTTGGCGATCTTCTTCCGCTGCAACAGGTCGGTCATGTACTTGTGTAGGTAAAACGCAAGGGCAGTGACTTCGGGCATCTTCTCGTCTGCAAGCTTGTCGTACTTCCCTTCATTCTCAACGCGGCAGAAGTCGCTGAAAGACCGGATCATGAAGGCCGATTCTGCGGTAAGGTTCTCCCAGAAAGGCTCGTCAAAAACAACCGCCTCCCGATAATCCGGGCGACCTTCCCAGAAGCTACGCATGGCTTCATGTGCAATTCCAGACTCTACTCCGGAGTTGACAACATCAATTCTTTCGAGGAGCTCAAGCAGCCCGTTGAAGTTCGGTGGGGAGCGTTGGCCTGTAGGTCCAGCTTCGGGGTCGTTGTTGGTGCCAGCGCAGTCTTCAACCCAGCGGTCGTAGAACAATTTACCGGTAGCTTTGCGAACGCTCTCGTCTCGGTCACGGAGACCCCATCGAAGAAGCTTCTCTCGCATAGACAGCGACAGATGCCGGAAGTCACCAAGGGTGGGAAGAAGGCGTGAGTACAAGGCACGTCGAGTGGCCGCATCGAGATCGCGGGCTCGTTCCAGGAGATATTTCAGGGTGCCCGGGACCAGAGGGAGGTTGATAAGTAGGGTCTTTCGTACATCTGCACTGGTATCATTCTGCATAATATCGATAAGTCGCTCGAGCACAGCCTTACTGTCATCGTCATCTTCGTCGTCGTTGCCTGCGAGACGGCCAAGTCCCATGACAGCCTGCACTCTTACGGCAGGCTCTTTGTCTCGAATGCGCTTCACAAGACCGCCGCGAATGGCGTGATATTGGTCGTCGTCTATCGTTTCGAGGGAGTTGACAATGTGGGCGATGATTTGGGTGGCGCGAAAGCGGACTGTCTTGTCTTTGGTCGCTAGTAGGGGGACGATTATGTTGATCAGGCTGGTCGTCAAGCGCGAAGTGGGCGTTTCAGGCGAATTCTGCATATCTTCATCGTCGTCATCCGCAGCATATAGCTCTGCATCCTTCTCGGAAGCCAATGCCAGGAATGCGCCAAGAAAGCGTAGGATGCGGTCTCCGACTGGCTCTGATTTTTTGATAGGAAGAATGCGCAGAACGCAACGGCCGACCTCCGTGTTAAACTCTGTCTCAGGCAGAGTCTCTTCCATAGGAAGCGTCCACTCCGCCTGGGACTTGCTGCCATCCTTCTTGGAGCTCTTCTGGGATATGCCGCAGCAAGCTTCTTGGAGCTTCCTCAGGCGGACGACGAGTTTCCGATGTCCGGTTGTCGAGCGCTGCGCATCGGCGAAAAGAGAGCATACATCGCGGCGCAAAGTGGGAATAGCCTCTGGAAGCGAAGGTTCCTCGGGGATAGTGAAAGACGGGGTCACTGAGCCTGCGCGCGAGGGCTGAGCGGAGGTCTTGCGCGTGGCGGTGGACGTTGAACGGGCGGATCGGCCAGGCATGGTGGCTCAATGGCGGGGTAGGTGTCTCGTCTCAGACAGTTCAGTAAGGGGTCGGGAGTCAATAGTTGTCATAAATCATCCTAAATTGGTTGCATCGATGGATCCTAACGCGTCGTCCGTCCCAAGCGTGTCTGGCGTGTGCAAGAGTTCGATGTGTTCAGGAGAAAGACTGATGCTGTTCCGATCCAAACATTGCGGAGGCTGTCACGGGGCTGGATAAACAAACAGCCCAAACGGGAAGGCTGATAAGGGCTAGGGCTGCACGTGGTTCAATCTACAGAAGATTACTGGGCTGTACAAGAGACATGCAGTTCACACTGAATGTGATGTCATTACACTGAAAATGCACAAGACTTAGTCTAACAGTATCCCTTTTCATGGATATCAACGTAAAAACACCATACAATACAGCTGCCAATGTCAGCTCCATCATGGATTCTCCAGTAGAAGCAGTAAAAGCAATCACGCCATCGACCACGTGACGTAGCTTACTAACACCGATCATCGGCATGCGGACAATCTGGGGAATCGCTGCGTTCCTCCCTCAGCATCCAGGCGTTCTGGGTTTGACAATTAGCGAGCCATTGACAGCATGTTTCGTCAGAGTATCCGCCGATTTGGCACAACGGCCCTCCGCGCCGCGGAGGCGTCGACAACCTCCTACAATGTCCGGGTATCCAAAGCCCAGGGCTTCACCAACGGCCTCACGGAAGGTATATATGCACCCATACCCGTCTACCACCGGCAACTCAACCGCATAACTAACCCCCCTCCGCAGCAATCGGCAACACCCCCCTGATCCGACTGAAGAAGCTTTCCGAAGAAACCGGCTGCAACATCCTCGGCAAGGCCGAGTTTCAGAACCCCGGAGGCAGCGTCAAGGACCGTGCTGCTCTATTCGTCGTTGAGGATGCAGAGCGAAAGGGCCTCCTGAAGCCCGGCGGTACAGTGGTGGAAGGCACGGCAGGAAACACCGGAATCGGACTCGCGCACGTCTGCCGCTCCAAGGGCTACAAGCTCGTCATCTACATGCCCAACACCCAATCGCAGGGCAAGATCGACCTGCTGCGTCTCCTCGGCGCCGAGGTGTACCCCGTTCCCGCCGTCGCATTCGACAACCCGGAGAACTACAACCACCAGGCACGCCGGCATGCCGAGTCCCTGGACAACGCCGTCTGGACTAACCAGTTCGACAACACCGCCAACCGCCAGGCGCATATCGAGACGACTGGTCCTGAGATCTGGGCGCAGACGAACGGTCAGGTCGACGCATTCACTTGTGCTACGGGTACCGGTGGTACTTTGGCTGGTATTACGCGCTACTTGAAGACTGTCAGTGACGGGAAGGTGAAGAGTTTCCTTGCCGATCCTCCGGGTAGTGTGTTGCACAGCTATATCCAGAGCGGTGGGAACTTGGTCGAGCGCTCCGGTAGCAGTATCACTGAGGGTATTGGCCAGGGTCGTGTCACGGATAACCTGCAGCCGGATATTGGTCTGCTGGACGGATCGCTTAACATCCCTGACGAGAAGTCGATTGAGATGGTGTACCGCTGCTTGGATGAGGAGGGTCTGTACCTCGGTGCCAGCTCGGCGTTGAATGTGGTGGCCGCGCAGGAAGTGGCGAAGAAGCTGGGCAGGGGTAACACGGTTGTTACTATCTTGTGTGATGGTGCTTACCGCTATGCGGACCGGTTGTTCTCCAACACGTGGTTGCAGACGAAGGGACTGCGTGGCGCGGTGCCGAAGCATTTGGAGCGCTATGTTGTGCTGCCTTAGATGTAAATCAGATATCAATTTGTGAATAGATATGATGTATGCTATAACGGATTTTTTGAACTCGGCCTCGTAGTATTAGTAGTAGTAGTAGTACTTCAAAGGGACTCATGATAATACTAGTAGTACCCATGACACAGGAGTATGTAGTAGTGTATATATATATCCACACCACATAATGAACCCAACACACCCAACTCCGACTGAACATTCATTACAAGACTGAAGTTCAACATTCCTCCATTATCCCACTCATTAGTTTCCTTCAAAATCAACACCAACTCACAAGTATTAGATATTGAGCATACTAGGCCTATGGCATAGGTGCCCAGGAACCATACAAGGATAGCCAAGTCTTAAAAAGTTTTCGACGGTTACAACGAGTTGCCAACAGTGATATATATATTTACTTGTAGTTATAAACTACAAATTAAGGATTATACTTCGTAATCTACTACTTGATAATTATATTTTCGGTACTAGTAGTACCTGTATATTTATATCATTGTTGACTTGACGTCATTTTATACATCGTTCCAGTACATACTTCGATACTACTAGCTGAGAATATAAGTAATAGTGAAAGCTAGTCTACATTTACCAGCCCTCTACTATACGAGTAGTAACACCGCTGCAAAGAGATCTATTTTATCTATACACAGTAGTAATAATATACAATGAGTCGAGTCAAGACCATCCATCCATCCATCCCCACCCCTCTCCCACAAACCTCAAAACCATGAAATCTATCAACATAAATCAATCACCATCACCCGGAATGATAAAAATGAAAGGTAAACGCCATAAAATGCACCCAACCCAAACGCCACCCATGAAAAACAAACACAACCCACATTACCACCCCCCATCACCCCTCCTACTATCCAACAACTCAATCATCCTTCTCCGGCATCCTCATGTAAGCATCAATCGCAGCACTGAACGCCGCAAAGCCAGCACAGCCCGCCGCGGCAGCCTGGGGACCAGCCTTCGCACCCAGAATCCCACCGGTAATGCAACCGGCAGCGACCGAATTCGTAAGATCATTCTTGGCCCGCAAGCCCTCAATACAGCACTCAGTGCCAGAGTACAGCGCACCCACGACACCGAAGTTCTTCGCGCTAGACCACGACCGCTGGCCCATGTCTTTGAATCCCCTCCGCACTTGCTCTTTCCAGGGGAGGTCGGCGATCGCTTTGCCTTGTGGGGTGAAGGTGGAGTCGTAGGACATCTACACATATATAATGCATCTGTTAGTTTGGTTTGATTTGGGAGATGGAAAGGTATGGGTATGGGGGCAGGCGTACGCTAGCCATGAACAAACCGAATACACCACCCAGACCGAAACCCATTGTTCCGGCCATGACGGTCTTCATGGGGCAGGATTCCATGGCGGAGTACATCTACCATCATCATTATTGTGTTAGCTTGATTTTCTGATGTAGTAAGGAGGGAGGGAGAGGATAAAAGGCAGGGGAGGAGGAGGCGTACCATCTTCACCATGGCTTGTTCTTGCTCGCTCATGCCCTGCATGTTGGGTCCTGCTGCGCCGGGGGCGCCGCCGAGGCCACCCATCGGCGTGGTCATGCTAGCGGGGTTCATTGTGTATGTTGTTTTAGTGTCTGAGGTAGGTGGTGGAGCTCGAGAAGGGTTGATATGGAGGCTAGAGTGGTGGAGGAGCTCCGCGACACGGTGGTAGTGAGTGGTGTAGACAGACGGCCGATTATCGCATCCCCCGGACTTTTTGCGGAGATGGCGACGGGCGCAAATTTATTTTTACGGGACGCGGGAGGTGCCAGAGATGCAGTGTCACGTGATATCCCGGGATTTCACGATACTATACGGATCCTATCTACTACCTCTACTAATACAGAGCAAGGTATCTAATTTGAGCAATAAGTAATTGTTTTTACAGCCAGTACATTCTGACATAAATACATTCTAAAACATGCAAGAAGGTAAAGAGTGAAATCAACGCTCATCGTAAAGGGTATTGCAACATTCATAACCCTGCGTTAATCCGTCGGTCTCTGCTTGGTCGCACATATCGTGTCCATATTTACAATAGCATGGGAAGAGATAATCGAAAACCGTAATCGAACGGCATATTCAAAGTAATCGAGCAATCAGTCACGCTTGTCGTCCTTGTCAATCGGCGAATAGGGTTCCTTTCGTTCGGGGGAGAGACTGCGCTCCCATTCGGCCATCAGGTTGGACGCGGTCCGGGTCAACTTCGAGGGCGCTAGCTTGGTAATGGCTGGCCAAGGGATACCGTCAGATACGCTGGGATCGGGGACAATGGACTCGTGCAAGGCGCGCCAGTCGCCAAAACTAGTGCCAGTCAGCGTATCTCTGTCTGGGACAAAGACGAGGACAGATGCCTACGAAAGATATAAACACTGGTTAAGACCTACCTGGTACTTGTACGTGGACTGCTGTTCTGCGTCATCGGCGACTGGTCCTGCTTCGACTCCAACGTGGAGCGGCTGGACGACGGCGTGTGTGTCTTCTTCGGCGAGTCCCACTCCCAGTTGTCTTCAACATCGGGGATGTGGGAGTCGCCCTGTTCGATCCGCCCGCTTGGGGTACTGGAGGCTCCGCGAGCGCTCCGGGACTTCTGCCCAGCTGTATCAATGCCGAATTCACTCCAGAACGACGCGTCAATGTCCGCCGAGTTGGAGTCTTTACCAGAATAATTCGTCCCCGCGCGTGACGTTCTGCCCCCCTGCATGGATAACCGGTCTCTGCTTCGCGATGTCGAGCTGGATGAATCCCGCTTGCGTACGGGAGGTACGCCCCGGGATTCGGTCGCACTGATGCCCTCTTCTCCTACGGTCGCTTGTCGGATATCCTCCAAGAATGTCCAGAGCCCCTCTCGCAAGTCCGACGCCATCTGTTTGCCGGTGCGCATCAGCGCCTCGCGAGACGGAGGAGGCATGGTGTTTCGCCACTGCGCGATCATGTCCTCGGTGGGCTTGGAGGAGTCGCCGGAACCTGCACTGCGCTCAACAGACGACGGCAGAGTGGCTGACCGGGGAGACCGACCGATACGACCATTCACCGAGTTGGTCTCCGACTCCGATGCGGCCCTGCCGTCTCCAGAAACCGACACCGGCGACAGCAAGGACAGGGTCCGAGTGTGAGAGCCGCGGAACACCCGTCGACCATTGGCTGAGACGGTCGTGCCTTGGGTTGCAGCCGCGCGCAGACTGTGGCGGCGATCCAGCTCCCGGCTGAGTCGTGCGTGCGCCAGCGAGGGGCTCGCGGAGCCGCTCAGACTGGGGTCTCGACGATGCGAGCGCTCCGGAGTCTGATCGGGCGATCGCAGCGGAATCAAAGGCTCTGCCCGATAGCTGATCTCCGCTCGCTTCTTGGTCCTCTCGGACGAGGCCCACTGCTTCTTCAACGAGTCCAGCTCAGTCTCCGCACGATGGAGCTCCTCCCGCAGCTCCAGCACCCTTCTTTCCTGCGAGGCGATGGCAGTCAACAGTCCGGAGCCATCATCTTGTTCGTCAAAGGCCAGGGGAGCTCCCAGATGGGGGATCGGCGAGGGGTAGGCGGAGGAACGAGTCACGGGCGTCATGGATCCAGGGGAGGCAACACTCGCACTAGGGTCGACGGTGGCGGGCGGCGGGATGTTGATGGGGAAGTTCAAGGTCAACCGTTTGGCGTGTCGAGCAGCACCATTTGGACGTGCTGGTAGAGAGGATCGCTTGGACTGAAGGGTAGTTCGATCATGCTCAGTGGGAGGGTTTGGGTGGTGGTGCGTGAGGTGGTCGGGCGACGACAGCTGCAGCAATGTCTGGGACGTTTCCGGAGCCATTCCCGCCCTGCCCGTTCCCGGGGAATCCCCCATGACGGACCAGCGTACTGAGGATGGAGACTTGATCAGACGGGCCTGGGGAGTTGGTTACAGAAGCTGAAGCGACAGAATCATGGCAAAACCCTGGAGAGCCCGACAGGAAGGATAGTAACAATCGATCAGGGGCCCGGGAGTCAGTCAGATGAATGCTCCAGGGGGGCGGCACGAGGGAGAGGAATTGGCTGATAAGAAAGCTAAAGATTGTATGGGCCAATCAACCGCATAAACAAGTGGTAGCCGTTTAAGAGGCAGAAAAGGAGGAGAAGAAAGAGAAGAAAGAAGGTCAGTCAGGGCAAGGGAAAGAAGGAAAAATAGAAGAAACGGGGCCGGGAAGCAACACGGCCAAGAGAGAAGGAGTGTAATCAAATCCCATCAAATAAAAATGCGAAGAGCACGAGAGGAAAAGGTCTGGCCGAGGGAACGAAAGTATGGCTAAGAGCCAACGGGTCTTAGTGAAGGTCACTAAAGCCACCAAGTTGGCGGGCGAAGGAGGGAAGTGGATGGGCTCCAGCGGGTCGCAACGCGCATCCCTTCCGCCTGCAGTCTTGCGTTTCACCGCGTTCTCATTTCTCATTTCTCTCTGCTTCTCTTCTCTCTTCTCTTTCTCTTTCAGGGGGTGTGATGGGTGATGTCCGTGGAAATTACTAACCCGGTAGTTAGATGAGGATGGGCAGGCAAGAAGTGTCTACCCAGTATAGTAGATACTATATGATTATCTATCTACATGATAATCCATCACATTTCATTATCTCTTTCCCTGCTGCACGATGCGGGGAGACATGCACGCAAGGGGGAACATTTAAACAGCATGATCATTGAGGATCATCCTCCCCCTCCTCATGTGGTTGACAGCCCCAACGTGATGCCAGTTTACCTGCAACTACTCTCTCCCTCACTTCTCTCATCTCCCCAAATTACTTGCTCCTATTTTTAAACCTTCGTATCGTCCCGACCCGTCTTCTCGGAGTCTGGATGGCCTGCTCGGCTGGGATTTCCTTTATTACTCTGTACTATCATGTTGTTCCTAATATGCATCCACGTAGGAGATTTAAGATTTATAATAGAATTGTGGTTACCCATACATGCAGCAAATACATGCAGGTCGCAGATCGCCTCAGTTCCACCAACACCAGCTATAGTTCACACAAAGTCCATACACTGTCCAAAATTATCCTTCCATCCAAAACAACAACAATGATCACATCATCAAAAGAACGAAAGAAAGAAAGAAAAGCAGCAAAAGACCTATCTATCAGAACAGAATTTAGTACACATGCTCGCCCGAAATATAATCATCAGAAATGAAAGTCGTCGCGCAGATTTGGAGCTGAGCCATCGAACCAGTCCCACGGGTTGTGCCACGCTGCCACACCAGTTCGACCAGCATCTGGCCTCCACGTTGGCCCCAACCCACGGAGCCCAATGCAGCAAGGAAACCATACCAAGCGAGGGGAATTATGCAGAAGAAAATCAATAGGTGCAGCATACAACAAGCCCATGGACCCAACATGTAAACGCCCCGGGAACCGATTTTGTACAGATAATAAGAATAAAACAAATCACAGAAAAGACAGAGAGCCGCAAGGGACCTGTCAATAACGTCAAGGGTACAAGGAGGAGTTTAGATCCCCGGCCAGCGGTTGCGGAGGCCTTCCGACCATCGTTGATAGAGCACATCCGACAACTGCTTCGTGTGCTCCATCCCCGGCACTTGCTGGCCCGGGAGATTCGCCAGCTGCGCCGGCTGCAGGTTGGGCTCGGCCACTGCCGCACTCTGGCGGCGCCGGTGGCTTTTCAGATGTGGGTTGTTTTGTGCCAGAACCAGTCGCGGCCTCTGTGGGGATTCGGCCGGTGGAGCGGGTGGGACGAGGCTGGCCAGCTTGGGGTCGCTAGAGTAACCGCCATTTCATCAGCTTCCCTTGCCATTCGCTGCAGGAAATATCGCCACTTACCCTTGCAGTCGCTCCGTCATCGCCCTCACGATATGATACAGACCCTCGGGGTCGATCATTTCCAGATCACTCCACGCCTCGGCCAGCCGGGAAATCGCCTCGCGCTTCTCGTCATCTCCCGTCGTGCTTAACACCTCCTGACAGGCAAGTCCCACCGCCTTGCTGTATGCGCGACGGCCCAGCTGTGCTTCCTTGCTGTTGGGTTCCGAGAAGAGCGTCTTGGGACTGGCATTTTCATCCGTGTAGGAATACTGCGGGGGGTACGAAGCGTCGGCGGGGATCTTATCCGACACCCGACGGAATTGGCGGACGGTCGAGGGACTGTTCCCAAAGCTCATGTCCACCCCCAGAGGTTGCTTCACCCCGCTGGATCGCCGCTTGGCACGCCGCAAGGATGGACTGCGCTCGGGGGCCGGTGCTCGTCGGACGGCGGTATTCGTTGCGTGCTTCGGTGGAATAGGCGGGCTAGAGATGTGCAAGTCGTCCATCAGCTCGGAGGCTTCATCAAACACCCAGTCCTGGGGTTCCGGCTCGTTCTCAAAGTCGTCGGGCTCTTCGCGGATAGCCATCGTGGGAGCTTTCACGGTATCAAAGACCCATCCGTCATCATCATCCAGGTTCCGAATCGTATTGCTGCAGCAAAGTAGTTAGCGGATGTGATGTGTGTTCGGGGGCGGGCCACATACAGAGACTCTGCATAATACTTCACTTTGTGTGTCACACCCCGACCAGCATCCCAGTCCTGCCTCCGGTGAATCAGCTCCTGTAAAGCCTCCGTTTTCCCCGCATTGCGGATGAATTTGTGTCTCAGAAGCTCCTTGGCGCTCGGTCTTCGGTCGGGGTCCTTGGTCAAGCATTGTGCAATAAAGTCCTTGAAGGTGTTGCTATAGTCGTCACCTTGCAAGCGGGGGGCGGGTTCCTTAGGAATCAAAAAGAGCACTTTCATGGGGTGAGTGCTGGCGTGTGGCGGCTCGCCATTGATCATCTCGATCGCCGTAATACCCAGGGACCAGATATCCGCTTTGTAGTCGTATCCAGCCTGCTGGATCACTTCGGGCGCCATCCAGAACGGCGTTCCGACAAAGGTGTTGCGTTGGGATTTGATATTGATTAACTGTGCGGCCACGCCGAAATCCGCCAGCTTGACCTTTCCGGTATGCGACAGAAGTACATTGGCGGCTTTAATGTCGCGGTGGATCTTGCCTTCGCTGTGCAGATAATCCAGACCCAGCAGCAATTGCTGGCAAATAATGGCGACGTGGGCTTCGTTAAAAACGCCGGGTTTCAGCTAGAAGTGGTTAGCGAAGCGCACCCAGATTCGACAGGTCACTCATGGATTACCAGGTCCAGACAGGATCCACCACCGAGATACTCCATCACAATCCACAGCTTATGACCTCTCAGAAAACTCGCCTTGTATTGCGTCACGAATTGGCTCGCACAGGTAGCGAGGACGGAGATTTCCTGCTGGATTTCTTGGATATCATCTTCACTAGATTCGAGATCGATCTGTAGCAGCGGGCGCATGTCAATTAATGGATACGTTCACCGGGCAAAAAAGCCATGCAGAGTCACACGCACATGTTTAACCGCCACAATCTCTCCGGTAGCCTTTTCAATGGCCTTGTACACCGTTCCAAAACTTCCACCTGCAGGTGCAAACGGTCAGTTCCCGATGCGATTGCCTCCACTGACACATTCCGCAGGACCACTCACTTCCCAGCTCCTCCAGCATCTGATAATGACCTGACATGTCGTCCTCCATGGTTATCGTGCAGGAGGTCTCCTCCACGGATGAGACAGCGACGACGTGAAAAGTGGAGAGAGAAAAATAGAAAAGAGGAAAAAGGTGAGCAGGGACCACACACACACACAACTCAGCACACAAGGGGCAACCCGCACAGCCAGCCAGCTGAATTAATCCTGCGGATACAAGATATACACGCTGAGCCGAACAAATTCGAGTGAACCGACCTTGGAGAGCGGAGGGATGGAGGAGCAATCAACGGGGAGCTGAGGCTATCTACCAGGGACTCCTCCATTCAAGGACCAGCCCGTCGCGCATCCGGTGGTCGGCAGCCGCTCGCTCCCATGGTTCGCGGCAGACACAACAGGCGGTAGCTCATGGCAACCATGGTTCCCGCTGCTCCTTCCCCCTCACCGCCTGCCGCTGACCGCCGGACTCGGATTATTCAATTGCCGGCATGTCAGATCACATGCTGCTTTCTTTCCCTCTACAACTTGAACTTGCTCCATGATTAAGCTTCTGACCTTAGAAAATGGTTGGAGTAAGACGATGTATTACTCTGACTTGTGCAGCAGATTTTCTGGTTATCTAGCTGCTCAGCAGCCACTACACGAATACGGATTGAAGTCTCGATCGTGCATCGCCGTTTCTGGCAACTTTCATCGACGGGGGGCCTAAGAATTGGTGATTCGGTTTCCCCGCATAGCCAGCCATCTACGGAGTATATAATCTAGATTGACTAGGGTGGGTTCGTTGTCTCGGAAATTTTGGAAACCTGGCTATCTATTTAAGACATTCCGGATGCGACAAGTCAGCTTATGCAATCTCTTCGCCACATTTGTTTAACTCAATAAGGCCTCCAGCATATGATGGTACCCTACACAGTGTACTCCGTAATGCTATATTCACCATTATCCATGCTTACGGTCCCCCAAGTTGAAATTAATAAATAGACTGGAGAGTTAAGACGATTATTAGGATATCTACATGCAATAGAATTTCCTGTTCCAACTATTGAATACTACTAAAAGTAAATATAAGGAACTACCTATGCAGAACATTACCGAGTACAGTAATTTTATGCTCACCCGGTCTACAAATGGAGCTCTCGGTCTGTAACTAACATACTTACTAATATACTTCAGTTACTCTTAGCCACTAAATGTAGGTATGATCTTGAAGACAATCAATACTATGGGTCAGGTCAGCTGTAGGCTCGGGAACCGAGGAGTCCGTGTGACCGAAGCTACCGTGGATCGTCGATGTATATCCTCCGCAGCACTAGTCAGGAACTGTAAGGTCTGGGATCTCGGAAGCAGCGATGCTGGGGGTATAACTTTTCCAGTAGCTGACATTTAACCCCTCATCTCCTCCCGTTTTCTGTACTCTATTCAACCAACACCCCACCGTCATATCGGCCGAATATTCCACCATGGGGTTGTTGTTTAATTCCCACACCAACCAGATACTCCTGTTGCTAACGGTCCTGGCAGCACTCACATACGTCACCTCCAGGGTCCGTCGCTATTTCATCCGCCGCGAATTTGCACGCCGCCATGGCTGCCAGGAACCGCCCAGTGTCAACAGGGATCCTTTTCTGGCACTCGATCAAATCTGGACCTCCGTTCGCTATTTTCGAGAGTACATTTCCCTGGAGAAAAATGCCGAGCGCTACCGCCTCTATGGGGATACATACGCTTGGAAATTACTGCTGGGGCGCTACAGAGTCTTCACTATGGAGCCGGAGAATGTAAAATCGGTCTTGTCGACGAGTTTCAAGGATTGGGGTCTGGGTCACCGTCTCCCGCATTTTGAACCGCTTCTCGGTAAAGGTATTTTCGACACAGATGGTGAGCACTGGGCCACGTCTCGTGCCCTCATCCGGCCCAGCTTCACCCGCGACCAAGTTGCGGACCTGGCCATGTTCGAAGAGTTGATCCCCGACCTCTTTGCTCGTATTCCTCGTGATGGCGTGACGGTGGTGGATCTGCAGGATCTCTTCTTCCGCTACACCATAGATTCAGCCACCGCATTCCTGTTCGGTCACTCGGTCGCCAGCCTGCAGATGGACCAGTCGGAGCTTGGCTTTGCTCAGGCCTTCAACTACTCCCAGGAGGCTATTACATTGCGTTTCATTCTGGGCCCATTGGGCAGAATCTTCCCCCACAAGAAGGCAGATAAGTGTTATCGTCTATGTCGGGACTTTGCTGCGCGGTTCGTCGATGAGGCAGTCCAAGCAGCCCAATCCGAAGGAGCCGATGGAACTTCGGAGACAAAGCATGAGAGATATATCTTCTCTCATGAACTGGCACGACGCACCTCTGATAAACGCCGCATTTTGGACGAGCTCATGAACGTTCTGCTTGCCGGCCGTGACACTACTGCCGGCCTTTTGAGCAACATGTTCTTTATGTTGGCTAAGCACCCAGAGGTCTGGGACAAGCTGCGCCAGGAAGTAGCTACCTTGGAGGGCCGATTGCCCTCGTATGAGGAGCTTCGCAACCTGAAGTATCTCCGGTGTTGCATGAATGAATGTGAGTAAACAGCTGCTGTGGTTTTGCCCCACCTTTCATCTCTGACAATCCATCAGCATTACGGGTGCATCCAGTTGTGCCAGTAAACGGGCGCATTGCACTGAGAGATACGGTATTGCCGAAGGGAGGAGGCAAGGATGGTCGCTCGCCGGTCTTCATGCCCGAAGGGTCCACAATTGAGTACAATGTATATGCGATGCACCGGCGGAAAGATATCTATGGAGCCGATGCAGATGTTTTCCGCCCGGAGCGCTGGGAGAATGGACAATTGCAGCCTCGCTGGGAGTACCTTCCCTTTAATGGAGGTCCACGCATTTGTCTCGGTCAGCAGTATGCGCTGACTGAGGCCGGATATGTCACTGTTCGCATGGCCCAAGAATTCCGGACCTTGAAGAGCCAGGATCCAGGACCGTGGGAGGAGGCATTGACCTTGACTCTGTGCTCACGGAATGGAACGAAGGTGTCTGTCACACCGGCTTGAATAGAAAAGTTTTCCTGTTGTTTTTGTATTGCTTAGCTTATTGTCGAGTGCCATAGCAATAGTCAGACTGTCATGTTGTTTTTAGCCTCTACTTTTGCAATTTAAGCACCTTATGTATGCTGAAGGGCTTAGAAGGGGATGTGGCGGGGAAGCCCTCCAACCCGAGTTTCGTAGAGACTGTAAATGACACATCACATCAACTAGATGAGTTTACATATGCTTATTCTTCCTTGGCCCTGGCTTGTATTCGCGTCTTGATAAGCTTCTGCTCCCGTGACTCATCCCATATAGTACCGGGATCGGTCTCCGAACCCCGATCCATATACCAAGTCCGCATACAACCAGAGACAACTGCTACTTGTGCGACTCCAGCTTAATTGCTCCCTAGAGAAATATCATAATACATGGCAATTCAAAATTTCCCAAGTAAATAATCATTAAGTAGATTCTCGAAATTGCATTATATTATCTATGAGTCGGGCATCTCCGGCACACCTAGTGTATCGGTATCCGGCGTTGCCGAACCCCGATAATCATGGGAGCAGACCATTCCATCACTCTCACCCTTCTTTACTACTTTTATTCTGTGATACAAACCATATACAATATTTCCCTCGGCGGTGGATTTATTATCGTGTCTAAGCCACTTATACGCTCAGAATGGCCCCTCAGTCATACGGACGGGTATGTTCAGCTCACCCACTATCTACATCTTGCTTACCAAGACGGGCGAACAGGCTTGTCTAAATTGCTCCAAATGCAAATGCAAATGTGTTGACCGACCAGGAAGCCAGGGGTGTGAGAGATGTTATCGGCTGAACAAGGCGTGTCTGCGAGGCACCTCAACCAGAGTGATGCAGTCCCAGAAGAACAATACTGCCGCGCGCATTGCTCAGCTAGAAGGCAAGCTGGATGAGCTGGTGTCATCTCTTCAGCCACAAAACCCACCAAGCACTTCTAGCAGTTCTGTTAGAAACTCTCTTTCTACTCCAGCATCTGGTTCCAGCTCTCCTACTACATATGGAGATCATAATATCCCTGAAGCATCGACGTCTACTTCGGACAGCTTGGAGTCTTCACCGGAAGAGTCATTAGACATATTTCGTACTCACATGCTTCAGTATTTTCCCTTCCTACAAATTCCTAGCGACGTGCAATGGATGCGTCAGGAGCGGCCGTTTTTGTTTCTCTGCATCATGGCCGTAACCTGTCCCTCAATACCCACCAAGCTCGCCTTAGGGGAGAAGATCAGAAAGATTGCTACAGAAAGAATGTTCCTCTCTACTGATCCAGGGGCAGTGAACCTCGATCTGCTCCTAGGTCTTTTGACAGTTCTAGCCTGGGGCTACGATCACTTACTACACGACACCGCAATGGGCCTGCCGCGGTTTACTCAGCTCGCTATAACGGTGGTGTACGAGTTGCGTCTCAACAAGCCAATTCCTGATGACACCAATGTCCTTACTGCCGGACTCGGCGGCTGCATCTCATCGAAGGCACCAACGCGGACACTTGAGGAGCAGCGAGCAGTCCTAGCATGTTTTATTCTGAGCTCCATGTAAGTCTATCGCACGCCTTTACGTGATTATTCCTGACGCAGCCAGTGTGTCGACATGTCTTGACAACATCCAGCCAATGCAATGGACGTCACATATGGAAGAATGTCTCGAAGCTCTGACTCGGAAATGTGAAACGCCGCTTGATGAAGTGTTTGCTCATCAAGTCCGACTGCACCGTATTGCAAGAGAGGCGGAGCATATCCGAATTGCGTCGACGGCCGTTCCGGCAGCGTTTCACCTTAGTGCTTTGCAGAGGAAGGTCAACGAGGTCAAGCAGAGTATAACACCTAACTTGCAACATAATAGTGAGTACATTACTGATTATAGTATCTTTGGAACTTTGACTCATTCATGAACAGGCCTATTTCGTGCCTCGACATACTACACCGAACTGAGCATCCACGGCCTCGTCCTCTCAAAAAAGCAAGACATCCCAGACCTACAAAGACTCGAAGGACTACACGCATGTCTCGAAACCGCCAGATCAGCATTAGATAGCTTCTTCCAGATATCATCCACCGACGACTATATCGGGATTTCATTCCCTTTCTTCAACTACCTCGCGCGGAGCATCCTAGTCATCATGACACTGTCAACGATGAACGACCCCATCTGGGATACAAACCTGGTGCGATCGACTGTGAACGTTCTATGGATACTGGACCGCCTGATCAGCGAGGTACAACAAACCAAGACATCGCGAGGCGAAAAGAACGAGTCAGCCAATGGATTCTTGGACAAGTCAACCAAGAAACTCCTGTCACTTCGGGCCTCTGCATGTGCCGCGCTGACACCGGCGAAGCCGCAGCAGCAGTGTAGTAGCGTTGCCCAAGCGCCCGAGGATGACTTGCAGGTGTTGCGCATGTTTCAGGCCTACGAACTAATGGACGCGGGGCTAATGGCTAGTTTTATGGAGGGGACAGCTATCTTCGATGGATTTTATTAGCTGATATCTTCATCCCAAGTAACCCTAATCCATTCATCAACCACCTCCCATCTACCCCTACCAGCACCCCCTACTCAAAACTAGTCGAATGCGCAATCTCCCTCATGGCCTCCAAATTCTCCCTAACCCCCTCAATTTTCCCCGAAAACCTCTTCCAACAATCCGGCCCCAACACCACCCTCAGAAACCCCTTCTCAGCAATTCCCTCCGCCATCCCATTCCCATCCACCACCTCCAGAATCCTCTGCGCCGCCTTCTCCGGATCCCCCTCCTGACTCCCATCCTTCGCCTTAATCAACTTCAGCGCCGCCTCCACCGGCGTGCCCACATAATCCTCACTCAACCCCGCCGCAGGTGCCACAAACGCACTGAAGAAGTTTGTCCGGAAGTACCCCGGTTCAATGAGTAGAACGCGGATCCCGAACGGATGGAGTTCTTTGGATAGAGACTCTGTCATGCCTGTTCACCACCATTAGCATACAGACATCATCACATCAAATATAAGATAGATGGGATGGGATGGGACATACCCTCAATCGCAAACTTCGACCCCGCATAAACCGCACACCCCGGCGCACCATCCACCCCCGCACTACTACTAACATTCACCACCGTCCCGGCCCCCCTCTTCCTCATGAACGGCAACACGCCCTTCAACACCCTAATCGGACCATACACATTCGTATTGAACTGGGACTCAATCTCCGCTTCGCTCATGTCCTCGATACTCCCTAGCAGGGAGTATCCCGCGTTGTTGACGACGACGTCGATGACCCCGTCTGCGTGCGTGTTGATGGCCCGTTGGATGATGGTGGGCGTGGAAGGGTCGTTCACGTCCAAGGGGATCCAGATCCCCCCCAGTGAGGTGATTTCCGGTTGTAGGGTCGATGCTGTGCTGGTGTTGCGCGCTGTGGCGAGGACGCGGTGGCCGGCGCGCAGGGCCGCGAGGGCGAGGGAGGCGCCGAGCCCGGAGGAGGCGCCGGTTATGAGCCACGTTTGGGGCATTTTTCTTAGGTTTTTGCTGGGGGTTTGGGAGGTGGGGAAAGTGGGATTGGGGGGTAGGAGGGATGTGTGTTGAATTTATGCTATGTAGTGGCGGTGGAGATGGAATAGCTAAGCTTATCTATGGCCCGTCGCTAGGATATGGATTGGTGATCCTCCGGGGATTGAAGGTTAATGCCATTTACTCCGATGAGGCTGGATGGTAGGTGCGGAGTTTGCGGAGTTAGATGGATCATTTCCGTGGGATATGGAATATGGAAGTCGGATGGAGTGGGCGTGGGTTTGGTAGAGTAATTTGTGTTGTATACTCTGTAGTGTATTGGGGTTGATATGCTATGTATATGGTGAATTGGATGAAGATTGTCCCTGGTATGGACAGGGATATGTGTATGGGTGATAATGAATTAGCTGCTTGCATGCCGAGATGGCTGAATCTTGCAAATGGAACAAGGTATAGTAGGATTGGATATAAGAGCTAGGCTTTACCCCTCTTATTATTATAAATTCGCTAAAATCTCACGTCAGATTGATATGTAGAACGAGGGATCAAGTCAGTGGCTCCAATGTGAATATTACGTATACTTTGGACAATGAAAGATTGGTGCTCATAATGGCTTACGCTGCTTCTGGCTCAAATAATCTCCATTTTTAGAATATGATATCAAGGTAACTCCAATATGCTGCAAATCTAGATGTACTTGTAGGGGTTCAAGATTCCATTCTATAATCATCAGTAATAATTTCTCCATTATTGGAAAGGTACTCACCGGGTCGTATAGCCCTTTCAGCTGCTTCATCAACTTCACCATGGTATCATTCTGGCTGTATCCGATAAACTCCTTCTTCGCAAGACCGAGACCATGCTCGGCACTGATGCTGCCATTCCGCTTTTGGATCCACTCGTACACCCAAGGCTCAATGGCCTTCTCGACCTCCTTGTTGTACTGGCGCACCGAGATGTTCAGGTGCAGGTTGGAGTCACCCATGTGGCCGTATCCCACAACAGCACGGACAGGGAACGAGTCGTCGTCGCCAACGAATCCAAGCTTTGTCAGACGCTCCTTGCAGTCCTCGACCAGCTGGTACAGCTCCGGCAGAGGGATGGAGACGTCATACTTGTAGGTGCCACCCAAGTGGCTCAGCGCCTCCGTGATACCCTCTCTCCAGCGCCAGATGGCGTGGAACTGGGTCTCATCCTGAGCCAGGACACCGTCCGCAACGATGCCCTCGCCCATGATGTGCTCCAGGAACCCCTCCAGCTTGGCCATGTCGTGCTCGGCGTTGGATCCGCTGGTCTCGACGAGACAGTAGAAGGGGTACTCGCCTTCCAGGGGATACTTGGTGCCAGTGGACTCGTGGACGAGCTTCTGGGTGCGGCCGTCCATGAGCTCAAAGGCGGAGAGAATCTCGGACAGGTGGCCCTTGGCTTCCTGGTAGGCCTGGCGGACCTGGTCGTAGCTCTCGAGACCAAAGTAGGCGACATTGACGGCCTTGGGACGAGGGGGGCACAGGATGGACACACCGGTGATGATACCGATGGTGCCCTCAGAACCAATAAATAGCTGCTTCAGATCGTATCCAGTGTTGTTCTTGCGCAGGGTCGACAGAGAGTCGACGACAGTTCCGTCAGCCAGAACAGCCTCCACACCGAGGACGGTGCCGTGGAGACTGCCGTAGCGGAGGAGACGCAGACCACCAGCGTTGGTAGCCACGTTGCCACCGACATGGCAGGAACCCTTGGCACCCAGATCCAAGGGGAACAGGTGGTTGCGCTCAGCGAGGTACTGATCGGCAACCTCCAGAATGACACCGGCATCGACAACCAGCACACCAGAAGCCTCATCGAACGAGCGGATCTGGTTCATGCGAGACAGGTTGATGACAATTTCATCGAACACCGGCACGGAACCGCCAACCAATCCGGTATTGCCACCCTGAGGAACCACCGCCAACTTCTTCTCGTTACAGTATTGCAGCACCTTGCTGACCTCCTCCTTCGTCTGGGGCTTGAGAACCAGTCTCGTGTGACCGCGGTACTTGCGCATCCAGTCACTGTTGAAAGGCTCGATATCGTCGGCCGCGTCGGTGGTGACGCCATCGATCACGGCGGACTGGGCGCCCAGCAATTCCTTAAAGAAAGCAACATCGTCGGCGGAGATTTCGGCGAACTTGGAATCCCGCTTGAGGTTGGGGTAGGCGTTGCTGGTGTACTTGATCTCCTTAGTCGCATTGGCCGCGGAGGTGACGCTGAAGGCGCGGGCGGCAGTCGTCGCGGGAGACGGGGCGCAGACGGACAGAGGACGCAGCAGAGAGCGAGGCTTGGGCACGCGAGCCCGTCGGAGGGCGACAGAGAGATTCCTGGCACCAGACATGATGGGTGGTGGTGGTGAGGAAGACGGAGAAGAGCCAAAGGCTATATCTGGAAGTCTAAAAAGCTTACCGGTCGGAGTTGTGGAGGTCCTCCGGTGGTGCTTCCGTCCCGTCGGAAGGGCGGTATCGGCCTGTACGGCGGAGATCTCGGTTTAACCTAGTATACTCCCTGGATTGGAATGCTGGAGGGTAGGGTGACAGTATCCCGCGGATAATCGGGATGAGTGGCCATTATGATGACGATGTTCTTCTTGTCTGTATTGAAGTTGAGTAACAAGTGACGTTATATTAATATCCCTTGATATTGAGTAGCGCGACCGGGATATGTAACTGGTCAGAACAAGGGCAAACCAGTTGTGTGGAATTGGATCAATTGATGCAGTATTAGATGGGTAATTCCAGATAGTCTAGCATCAATTGATGTTCAAGACCAATGGAGTGTCATGATAACCAATTGTGATAGTGTTGTTGGTGGATGAAACTGAGGGCATGGGACTTTTCAAAAAGGAATCGAGGCAAGCACGAGGTGCCAAGCCCCGCATTGGATGCAGCCTCACAAATCAAAAAGTACATTCATTCATCTCATGTCCAGTTGGGGATCAATTGTGCCTGGCCCATTACGCTGTGTCTCGACCCATCCATCCCGATCAGCTCACCGTGACAGACCCTCTTCCACAAACAAAATAGAACAGTAAGAGACTCACCCGTCGTTACGTCATGAAGATGCCCCGCAGTTGACCAGCTACCAGAAACATCTCTTCAGCGCGTCATTGTCCCCCCTTCTTTTGATCTCTTCTCACCATGTCCTCTACTGAGACGCAATTCGGAAACATGTCGACTACTGTTCTTGTCACTGGTGCTACCGGCCTTCTGGGCCGACAGGTATTCAATACTTTCAAGCACTCCGGCTGTCTGGTCGTTGGTCAAGGCTATTCCAGAGCCATACCTCCCACGATACAGAAGGCCGATTTGGAAAAGGAGGAGGACATTAAGAATCTATTGAACGAAGCGAAGTAATTCAACTCCTGATTACGACTTCCGCCTTGCATCTCACTCTCAATACCCCCCATCTCACACCCGCGTTGTTCACGAATTGAATCTGACTGATGTCCGTGCCCCTGCAGACCCCAAATTGTCATCCATTGTACGCCACCTCCTGCTGGAAATGCAGCCAACCTGCATCCCGTTGCACGCTGACCGTTCCGCTGTAGGTGCCGCAAACCGTTTCCCCGACCTGTGCGACCAGAACCCGGACCAGGCGCGTCGGGTCAACGTTGACGCCACCCGCATCCTCGCAGAAGAGACCGCCCGCCGTGGCGCTCTGCTGGTCTACATCTCCACCGACTATGTCTTCCCCGGGAAGGAGGGAGAGGCTCCCTACGAGGCCGACGCGCAGACCAACCCGCCCAACCTCTACGGGCAGTTCAAGCGGGATGGCGAGGTGGCCGTGCTGGAGGCCACCAAGGACACCGGACTAGGAATCGTGCTGCGGGTGCCCGTGCTATATGGTACTGCCAAGGAGAACTCGGAAAGCGCCGTCAACACTCTAATCGATGCGGTGTACAAGGCCCAAGATGAGAACGCGGGGGTGAAGATGGACGACTGGGCCCAGCGCTATCCCACCAACACTGAAGACGTTGCACGAGTGTGCCGTGACATTGTAATCAAGTACGTCAAGGAGCGGCAGCGCATCCAGGAGCTTCCCAAGATCCTGCAATTCTCATCGGAGGACCGCATGACCAAGTACGAGATCTGTGAGAAGCTGGCGGATGTGCTCGGACTGTCCCTGGTTGGAATGGTGCGGAACAAGCAAGGAAACGACCCGAATGCGAGTGTGCAGCGGCCCTACGACACTCACCTGTCGACCAAAGCGCTGAAAGAGCTCGGCATTGATCTCCGGACGGTTGACTTTGTGTCGTGGTGGTAAGTTATTCATTTCCTTATTGAAATCATCGTTGGTGCATAATTGAGGGGCTAACATCGGACGCAGGCGGAAACACTTGGGAGCGTACAAGCATTAAATTGATTGAAATAATTTATTCTACTACTAGTATGGAGCCCCATGCTGCGCAAATTGTCTAGCATGAAATCACGCGCGCTGCTTGGTGTCTGAAACAAAATGAAACAACCGATGATCATCCCGGGGACCGGATCCAGCTAAGGTGTGTAAGAGTAGGAGCTGCTGTAGTTGCTTGTTGAAGATTACATCCATTGTTGACATGTTGGATGTTTAATCCGCGGTGGGTCGCACCCGATACAGCAGTATAATAATCTAAAATCTGGTAGGTCGTTGAAGTCAAGTGGAGATATAGTTTGATAGTCGCCGTCTAAAGACAGATCGCCATATTGTATAGATGAGAGTAGATAGAAAAATACATCGGATGATTTGGCAATGATAGAGCTGATACTAAAGTAATATGCTAGGCTGGAAGTAGCGGGATATTATGCCAATAGTGTAGAATTCAATGCAGGTGTAAAGAAGTCGCTTCATGGATATAGTGAGATGAAAAGGTACACAGCCTACAAAATAATATCAACGGTACGTCCTAGAGCGACTTGCCTTTCGCGTCGCCTTCAAAGTAAAAAATTCCGTGATCCAAAGCAGAGACACAACAATCAAAACCACCCCAACTCCAAGAGGAACCACAACTTTCCAAAATACTTGAACGTCTCCAACTTTGACGGCACTGCTTTCTCTGCTCTCCCCTAGATTCATTATCGAAGCGGTCACCGAAACTGGTGAAACCAACCAGGCCCACAGTGCCAGAATCAGTAGCAACATGTTTCGGTATCTTGAACGTGATTTTTCAAAGTCGTCCTCGATTGACTTCAAAAAGCCCATGATTCTTTTAACCCGTTTATTTAAGCGACAGACGGCCTTCTGCAGGTAGGCAAAGTCGTTTGCTAATTCTGAGTAATCTGGAAGACCGGTGAGCTGCTCCCGAGCTTTGCAATACTCTTCAGCTTCGTGTATAAAATGTTCGTACGGCTCGATGTTGATCAAATCACTGTGTAAACCTATCAGATCTGCTTGGAGCCTTGCAGAGAGACTGCCATTTGGGTCTGGGTATAGGGGATCCATGAGGGAGGGAAACTTTCGTCTCTGTGTAATAACCTCCTTCTGATAATACACCTCCATCCAGGATAATTGCAAGTGTTTAGATTCAATCTCAGCCACCCAGAAGCAACCGATCAATTGAAGAACATCGACAAATAGAAGGCTCGGTGATGTCAATGCGGCATTGCGAAAATCATTATTCTCAAGATGGCAGATGAGGTGGTACCAGAGGATCTCCTTAACAGAGAAATTGGATTTTGGAGCCCGTTGAGGCCGTCCTTCCCATTCTTTTGAGCTTTCCAGATTATCCATAACGAAGCGTTCAACAAACCGTGGCCTTGGAAGGAACTCTCGGAAGACATATGAGAAACCTGGCTCGCAGACTGGTATCCTGCTACTTTGGTTTTTCGCCACAATGACACCTGTTGGGTGTTACTACTTCCCGAAGACAAATTTTGCAGCTGTAAGCCACTCACCTATCCACGGTATATCCCGTGATGAAGTTTCCGTTTCACCGTTGGCCCTCTTACGCGCATGCTGGTTTTCCCATACAGCGAGATTGTTGCGTAGACCGATCGAGTTGGCGCAAATTGGAGGCCCAGGTTTGGCATCACCACAATTGGGATAGAACGGTGACAGTGAACTATGGCTATCCATATTTGGACTATCACTATTCTGAAAGCTAGCCGGTGTTGGTTCCCTGTGGGCAACAAATCGAAAGCAGAAATGCTCCTGCTGCCTCGCAGGCCTTGGTAACGGCCAAAGCTGCTCTAACAGGCTGTCATCTCTGTATTGGACGCTTGGTTCACCCGGTCCAATATCTACCTTTCCTGACCCAAACCACGACGGACCGACCAGGAAATCTGCCCAAAACTGAGGATCAATTCGCAGTTGCCCTCCGAGCTCTGCGATGATCCTGGGAGTGGGGTCTTCCAAAACTATAAGTATTGGGCTTGAACCATCGTCCAATTTGGGCAGAACCTCTTCCAATTTCAAGTCACGCTGCACGGGAGGGACATTGCTTGGCTTGACGAGCACGATTCCGAAACTTTGTCTCTGGAGATATAGTGGATCCTGCAGATAAGCATCGAGATAGGATAATCCAGGCCACTGGCCTGCGAGTCTCTGGACATATTCTCGATATTCGTTGGCTAGCTCACTGAAACCACTGTATGGGCTCAGTTGACTGTCATGAGATGGTGTGCGAGTGCTGTTCCCATTGGACATCTCAAGGTCTGTTGCGGGCTTTACCCGCACCTTCCTAAACAGGGTCTCTGTCGTCCGCATCTTCTACTCTTCGCGAGCTACTTTGCTTCATCTTCTCCCGAACTAGCTTCCCAATAAAATGAATCCAAAACTTATATCCTTCAATATTAAACAGATGCCTTCTTTTATAACAAAAGGCCACCCTAACCGAGGTGACCCAAGCACGATCTATGAGTCGAGACCCATTGGACTTACTGACCGGTATGATAACCTAGTAAATAAAAAAGATGTACTGTGTTACGTCTAGACTGCTCTTTATCCTCTCTATTCATTCTGACATCCATGGCTCTTCCTGACGCACCAAATACAGTTTACGAGGCCGTATAACCTTATTTTAACTACTTAACCAGGCCAACTCTTAAGGAGGTCTGATGAAGACCATGAACCCGGCCAGAGAGTCTTTCTGGAAAGTGGATGCAATGTCTAGGATCCGACTTCGTATTCAGGAGTCGTATCCATTATGTCAAAAGGATAACCTCTAAGACTGAGTAGGATGGCAAGCTAACTTTGTTCGTATTTAGTCCAGCCCCTCAACTTCAAACAGTGCGTATAATCGCCGCATTCGGCTTGAGTATCCGTGATCCGGGCGGGGTTATAAGATTAAACGCATTCCCTAGATTTAAGGCTCGAATGGCCCAAGGTAGGGTTGATCAGCACTTAAAATCACACTTCGTACTAGTTGAGTCTGGAATGTGCATGTCCTAGCATTCTAACTCGATAGCAATAGCCTTTGGTAAGCGACTTCCTCGGCAGCAAGTCATGTTGAATAACGGATGTGTTGAACTCTCTGAAGCGAACAACATCACCCTGGAAGTCACTATTTTATCTACGTAGAGAGCGGATTCGGAACCGACAAAAGCGAAGGGTCCAGATCTTGGCATGATGCATACGGCATAAAGCTAAATGCTTGACACAATCACAGGTAGTAAGGTTTGATGTGGGGTCCATGTCCCTATGACCGAACTTGACTTTGAACTCCACCCCCAAATTGCTCTTGAAAGTTACAGCAATTGAACTATGGCACCAGAATAACAGACACTAGACTGTGGCTAATTTAATATTCTGCATAGATAAACAGGATGGGTCAGCGGATGTGGTGTCCTCCTACATTCCTCTATCACTGAG